CTACCTTAGAGTTTACACAAGGAGAACAAAATGATGCTTAACTTGGGAGAAAGTGAAGTTGAGACAAGGGCTTGATATTTAAAGATATTTAAGAAATTAGTGAGTTAACGTTTTGCTGTTGAATAGAATGTATTTGGAAGGACAGAGAAAGAGAGTCTGACATTTGAACAGTGTGGTAATCTATCAGGATGGTGCTATCCTAAACTGTATGGGTAGAGAAAATATTCAAAATTTAAAGAAGAGAAACACAGGAGCCTGAGGGGTGGGGAGAGCCATAATTATCATGTTTTGTTCTGCCACAACCTTCTTATTTCATCTTTCAACCTCTAGGGACTATGGGGTTCTTGTTTAGTAATACCAATTAGTCCATAAATTTTCACTTTTTTAAAAAACGAAAACCAAGGTAGTCTCTGTTCTCATTAGAACATTAGAAAAGTGATGTGTGCATAGCCCAAACTAAGGCACATATCAATCAGTGTGTTGTCATTTATTTTTTTTTTCATTTTAAAAGGTTCAAAACTGTAAGAGATAGATATGAGTTAGAAGTATCTCCTTATTTGAAATTTTCTTCTCAGAAAGCAGCATGTCCTAAGAGCCTCTCATAGTGCTAGTTTCCTGACTCTCTGCTGATGAGATTTTTGTACTTGAGGCTTCAGTGAGCGGACCTACAAGCCTACTCTATCTCAGGAGCAGTTAAGAGAGGTCGGCCCCTGGTAGATCTCTATAGATGTATGCTGCTTTTTGCTTTTCTTTTGCAAGGTGACCTGCTTTCTTTTTCTATATTTGGGATGAGGAATAGTGATTACTTTCAATGACCACCTTAAAAAGTATTTAATAGACAAAGAACTACAAGCAACCAAGGATAAGAGTGGGAAAAAAGAATCTTCCCCAGAGATGCGTTCCTTAAATTTGATAACCCAGTATCAAATGGTCAACCCTACAATTATTTACCTGCAAGTCACACTATATGGACTGAGCAGGTTGTGTTTTTATATTTAGGCATCTGTAGCTATAACAACTAAAGGAGAAGAGAATATTACTTCAAGAAGGAGCTAAAAGGGGGTTGGTGGAGAGAAGGGGAAAATGATATATTTTAGATGTATTTTAATTATATTAGATAGATATACAGATAAAGATATATTAGATATATTTTAATTAAAAAAGAAAGAAACCTTTTTACCTTAGTCCACAAAGATTTCCTCCTAGAAATATTTCCTTCTGAAAATGATTTTTCTAGGAGTGTTATAGTTCTTAAATTTAGGTCTACAGTCTATTTCAAGTTAGTTTTTAATGTATGATGTGATGAATGAATGAGGTTAATTTATTTTATACACATCTTAGCTTGTTCCAGTACAATTTAGACACTATCTTTTTCCTCTTTGGATCACTTTGGTCTGAGAAAGGGGTTGGCTTATTATAGGAGCCAGAGTGGCCTGAATACAGAGAAGGAGGAAAGGGGTGTTGAGGGCAGATGCTATGGAAGAAGCTAGGGGCCAAGTCATAAACAGACTTACAAGCCTTGGTAAGAAAATTGCATTTTATTCTAAGAAGATTTAATTGTTTCACAGATTTTAAGCAGAACATTGCATGATCCAATTTACCTCTTTTAAATATAAAGATGTGTTTGATGTGTCTTTTAGCAAATCCAATAAATTCACTCTGATACTTACCATGTAATAGTAAAAAAAGAGAATCATTTGTTATCGTGTGTGCATATGTATTATGTGTGTTGGGTACATGTGCCATAATGTACATGTAGAGGTCAAAGGACAATGTTGTGGAGTCATTTTCCTTCTTCCATCTTTATGTAAGTTTCAGGGATTGAATTCAGGTCACCAGGCTTTCTTGGTACCTGCCTTTACCTGTTGAAGCACATAACTAGCCCCAGTTATTACTGTAACATATAGCCTTTGGGTATCGAATAGCAGTCAAAATATATAAGCTGTCCTGATGGCATGATACAGAACACTTCATTCTTTGTTCCTTCTCTAGTCAAACCAATGTACATGTTTTTTGGGAAGAACATTTCCCAAGCTTTACTGTACAATGCTTCTTCAAGAATACTCTAGAATGGAGGATTTCAACCAGTGGGGTTATGACCCCTTAAGGATCAAATGACCATTTCACAGGGGTCACCTAAGACTATAAGAAACAGATATTTGCATTACAATTCGTAACTAGCATAACAACAGTAATGAAGTAGCAACAAAATAACTTAGGGTCAGAGGTCACCACAACATGAGAAACTGTATCAAAGGGGCGCAGTGTTAGGAAGGCTGATTACCACTGCTCTAGAAGATCATTCTGCTCAAGAAGTAGAAGACACCATGGTGTGGAAATGACCCAGATATGCCTGACTTGCTTCACAGGGTGATTCGAGAGTCCTTTCCCTGCTGGTTTGACTACATGAGGTGTTTTTCTAACGTGAGGATGAGGACATCAACTGAGTATCGTCAGAACTTGATTTTCTGGGTTGCTTTCCTAATATAAATGACACAAAGGGAAACTATTACTTATACTTGGGGACAAAATTTGAGAGATAGCCTTGCACTGGGAGTGTTCACATTCTTGTGAAGGATGGGTACTCAGTTGCTTAGAGTTATAATTCTTCTGAAATGTAGATCACTTTTAAGGTCACTGGAGACTTTGTTCAGCAAGTGCCATTGAATCTGTGTAAGGTTTAAACAGTAAAGTAAGCTGCTGTTGAAATTTCTTGCAAATTAAAAGACATCTGTGAAAAGCAGAACTTGGGGGATGTCTTAGGGTTTTACTGCTGTGAGCAGACATTTGACCAAGGTAACTCAGAAGGACAACATTTAATTGGAGCTGGCTTACAGGTTCAGAGGTTCAGTCCATTATCATCAAGGCAAGAACATGGCAGAGTACAGGCAGGCTTGGTGCAGAAGGAGCTGAGAGTTCTACATCTTCATCTGAAGGCAGCTAAGAGAAGATTGACTTCCAGGCAGCTAGGACAGGGGTCTTAAAGCCCACGCCCACAGTTACACACCTACTCTAACAAGGCCACACCTCCTAATAGTGCCACTTCCTGAGCTAGGCATAAACAAAGCATCACAGGGAAGATGTTAGACATGTTTTCAGGTTGGGCTTAGCCCCCCCCCAATATTATCTGTATACTATTTATCAGAAGGGAACTTACTTCTTGAATTTCACCCAAATACACCTTTGAGTGATAATTAAAAACTTGATCATTGAAGAAAACAGATACATATTCTGTATTAACTATTGCAGTCATCCACATCATGTGCTAATCAATAAGGTTGTAGGAGAAAAAAAATGAAGTATGCCTCAGACTGAGTAGCCATGGAAATTTACAAATTGAGATTTGTGTCACAAGAAACAGTGAGATACTTAAAGATGTAGGAAAACATTTCCAGGCAAGGTAAATACAAAGGCCAAGCAGGGAAAGATTGACTTGTCAGAGGATCAAGAAGGCCAGCCAGAGTGGACTGGCAGGATTTGTGGCCAGGGACTGAGGTGCAGATAATGCAATAATCTGTACAGCAGAGTGGGGATGCAGATTCCTACTGAGAAGCCATTAGTGTATTTTTAGGATATGATTCTATGGCTGCTGGTGGACTGTGGATTAGAGAAGGCAAGAGAAGAGGGTGGAAATGAAGAACCAGACAGCATGCTGCAGCCATTGGCCAGGATTGTGGTGTGGTGATGGGCTGGGGCAGAATGGATGTATTCAGGATCCGACGAGGGGAAAGGGTGCAATGCAAGAAGCCAGGTCAGCAAGCAGGTGGGAAAGCACCACTTCCACAAGGTGTAAGGCCCTGAACTTTACAAAATCACTACTACTGTCTTCCTAAACCAGAAGACTTGGCTCACCTTGGCTTCTGATCTCTCTGCGAGCTGCATTTTTCACATCTTTATTTTTCTGGAATTCTTGGTATACCAGAGACAGTGGGAAGGATGAGTTCTGTGAATGGTTAAATTTGCTGTGAGTTAAAGTTGAGACCGCACGCACACACAGTCTTTGGATGATGGTTTCACAGTTCTAAGGGAAGGGACCAGGAGGCTTAGAGTTTATTGTAATGAGGGTAAGGAACTTTGTACACAAGAGCTGTCATTCCATCCTTCTGATATACATTCTTTCAACTTCAGTTTTACAAGACAAAGGATCAGAGAGGTTCTTTAAAAATATGCTATGACTTTAGTCTTAATTATCCATATATATGTAAGTATGTGCACACGAGTGCAGGTATCTGCGGTGTTAGGACCTTGAGCTCAGGCCTTGTGTGAGCAGTATGTGTTCTTAATCACTGAGCCATTTATCAGCCCCTCAGATAGGTTAGCTTTGTTCTAAGGTACAGACTTCGGAAGTGATTGGACCAGGACTACGACCACGTCCGGTTCTCTGACTCCCGTTCAGTTGGGTCACTCTACTTTCCCCTTTGGGTTATTAATATCACACAGCCTCTACAGAGCCCTTGGTGCAGAGGACATAATTTCCTTTTGTCTAGTATGATGTCTCCCTTACTCCCTAGCTTGCCTAGAATTGTGCTCGGCAAGTGAGCCTGTTGGAGTCAACATCTCCTTCTTGCTGCCACACCCGGGGCTTGGAGATGAGAGAGGCAAAGCAGAGCCTACGAGCAGAACTCTGGTGGTGCATCTATCACTGCTAAGCTAGGGGAAGCAACTCTTCTGCTTGTTCATCGCCCCGAAGGCATTTTCCATTTCACGGGCCCTCCCGCTCCATATCCCTCACCTTTTGCCCCTCAGTTTTAGCTCTAGCCCCTAGGGAAGTGTCCCTGGCTGCTGGGCTGACAGCGTTTTGGGGCACAGGGTCTTGTTCTCTGCGCTCCAGCCCATCTGTGCGCAGAGCCTCGTTCCCGGGCTCTCGGAGCCCAGCGGGCATTGACGTCAAACGGCAGCGGAGCGCTGCCTACAGACGGCTGACCCGGGCTCTCCTCCACACCCCCGTCCTTCTTCTCCCCCTCCCTCTTCCCGGCACCCGATTTCAACCGGCTATAAGAAGCGGAAGAGCGCAGTGCCAGAGCAGCGAGGAGGTCCAGAACCATGGAGAGCTCCCGCTTGCGGCTGCTACCCCTCCTGGGCGCCGCCCTGCTGCTACTGCTACCTTTGCTGGGTGCCGGTGCCCAGGAAGATGCCGAGCTGCAGCCCCGAGCCTTGGATATCTACTCTGCCGTAGACGATGCGTCCCATGAGAAGGAGCTGGTCAGTATTTCCCTCGCCTCGGGTTCCCCCCTGGGCTACTACAGGGCCCTTGCTTTGCGTGCGTCCCTCTCTATCCCAGTCCCATCCCAGAGGGCAGAGACCCTGACGCTAGATTTAAAAAACTACCCTGGGTACCCTCTACCAGACAAAGATATTTGAGTTCACGGGCTGCTGACTGCCTGTCGAGCGAATCCCTAGTTGTGGCCAGTCTGGGCACTGTGCGCCTTGGAAGCTCTGGAAGGTGAGGTCAGGTCTAGGGACTTTGCCCACTTGGCTTCCTTTCCACCATTATCTACTCCCCTTTGTCCCCCGAGTCCTGTTGCCCCGCGGTTGTGTGTCCCGGGCTCCTTATAACTGGGCTGAAAGTGAGCACCTGCGCTGGGCTCGCAGCCAAGGCGGCAACTTCGGGCTCCCGGCGCTGTGTTGCAGATCGAAGCGCTGCAGGAAGTCCTGAAGAAGCTCAAGAGTAAACGCATTCCGATCTACGAGAAGAAGTATGGCCAAGTCCCCATGGTAAGGCTCTGGGTCCCTCTTCCCTTACTTTTCCAGGAGAAAAGATTGCCTAAAATCTTACACATGGTCTGTACTCTAGCAGGTGGCTGAGCCGCTAGGTGATGCATTTATCTGAAACATCCTTTGCTTCTGCCCTCACCCCCTTGTTCCTTGGTCTCTAAGAACAAGAGAGAACAGGCAGGCGACTTAGGACCAGAAAACAGTCTTATAAGTGGGAGGACTTTCTGAAACATCTCAGATGGGTGAGCCCTTGAATCTATTCAGTTCTCTCTAATTACTCCTAGAGCACGACAGGATTTTTTTCTTTTTCTTTATTTGTATCATTTCGTTGTTGTTTTGTTTCTAAAATTCTGTGATAAAAAGTTTTCAGGATGGGTCACCTTCATTGGACAGCTCTAGGTAAAAATCACACACACACACACACACACACACACACACACACACCCCTTCTGTTTTCCTTCTTTGGGCAAGGAAGTAGGAAAGTAGAAAGCAAAGGTTATGGGAAATATCTTGTATATTTCTTAGATGCAAGGATCTGGGTGATTTCCCCCTCTTTAGATAACAAGAAAAGGAAGCTGAAAATGTCCCTCTCAAAGGCAGAAGAACGTAGGAGGGGATCAATCATTTACATTTCTTCCTTTAAATATCCTCTTTCTGAAATTGTAAGCCGGAGGCCCCCTGGGCTTCGGATCTGACTGCTTCACCTGAGCTGATGGTAGTGGTCTGGTCCTTTCTCCCATGAGGACGCTCCCTTGGGATCCCAGTAACCATCGGTTGTGTTGTTGACAGTGTGACGCCGGAGAACAGTGCGCAGTGCGGAAAGGGGCCAGGATCGGGAAGCTGTGTGACTGTCCCCGAGGAACTTCCTGCAATTCTTTCCTCTTGAAATGCTTGTGAAGGGGTGACAGCCTCCACCTTCGATTCCCACATTCCCTCTTTCCCCCAAAGGAGCGCTCCTTTATCCCTGAAGCCTGGCTTTAGAAACAATAAAGTTTGCGTTCCCCTCAGAGAGTGAATGGGCTCTTTCCCTGCTGCTTCAAAATAAAAGATTTGACGTTACCATGTGAAGGATAATGCCGTGAATGGTGTTGGTATGTGTGCAAAATATTCTTTTCTTGTTTTATCCATCTGACACATTCTTGTGAACCTTTCTTGGAAGAAGAGGAACTTCGCTTTAAAACTGTATTTTTGTATGTGGCATGTCACCATGAGGATTAGATCCAGTTAATTTTGGTAGATGACATCATAACCCAGAAAACAAATTACCCAAAAGCAACACAAATTGAAGCATGTACAAAGTACACATAATAAAGCGTTTTTAATAATTGCTCACAGTGCATGGCTCTTTTTATATAAGTAATTTAAATAGGAATAATGGGATTAATCATGCTGTTGTTTTCAAAGAGAAATACTTTAAAAATAGCTGTCTGTTGGGAGAGCAGCACCTCAGCTCCAAGGAGTTTTGATCATTAATTAGGAGTGTGTGCTTCAGTATACTGTGTGCTCTAACTACGGAAGTGTAGTGCTAGTGCGCTCTCCCCCACCTCTGTGTGTGTGTGTGTGTGTGTGTGTGTGTGTGTAAGAGAGAGAGAGACAGAGAGAGAGACAGAGAGAGAGGAGGGGTGGAGATGGTTGGGTTCGAGATGACAAACATACTGTTACTTATTCAAACCTTAGTTTCAGCAGTGAGCCTTGTCAGAGACTCTTACACATATGTGTTTATTGCCACACTCTTCACAAAAGTCAGGAAATGAAATCACCCTAGATGTATATCAACAGAAGAATGAATGAAGAATATGTGCTACAGACACTCAATGGAATTGTGTGCGGCCATAAAGCTAAGTGAAGTGATATCTTCAGAAAAATGTGTGAAATTGGAAATCATTATGTTAGGTGAAATAAGTCAGACTCAGAAAGACAAATGTCACATGTATAGAGAACCCATGTTTGAAGGTGTGTGTATATGTACATAAATCAATAAGTCCTATCTATATACTATTTTAAAGCAAACAAATGGTTTACTCTGAGCAAAATCTAACTGGCTAACTTCTGGGTACATGTATTCAAGTTACCTTCGATGATATTCTCTGAAATGAAAGAAGTTATATAAACTCTTACAGCCACAGAACAAAGAAGACCATAAGTCAATACATCCAGCAAGCACATTGCTGGGGGATTTAGGTAACACCAAAATGAGGAAATCTGTTGTATATTTTAACTGCTATCCAACAGCCTTAGCTTTAAGGTTGATCAAAGCTAGAGGCCTACTAAGGGCTCCACAATGAGTAGTAGCTTCTACATAGTGCAGAAGGCAATTAATAAAGAGTATTCAATCAGAAAAACAAGCGGGCTACTTTTCTTAAAGATAGCCCAAGACAATTTTGACTGTGTGTATAATATTTAGTCTTTCACAATCATGAGGCTACTCAGAAATGGCCTGGCCGCTTGAGTGTCTTTATGGGTGTGGCTTCAGATGAGAAATTCAGCATCACAGGCCAATAAACATATTCTTTCAAACCTTAGGCACACTTAAAACAAGATGAAAGATCTGAACTTTTCTTTGGGCAATTCTTTTTGAGGCAGGGTGTCCTGTAACTCCGTCTTATCTCAAGCTGGTTATGTAGCTGAGAATGACCTTCAGCTTCTGAATTTCCCATCTCTGCCTGTCCTGGCATTACAGTCATGTGACATCATAGTCCACTTATATAGACCTGGGGATCAAACTCAGGGCTCTGTGCATGCTAGATAAGTGCCAACACTCTACCAAAAGACCTACATTCCAGTTCTGGGCAGCCCCTTTATTGGGAAATATGCTCCTTTTGGAGGTTGCTCATTCTGAGAAAGGGAGTTACTGCATCAGATGCTTGAAGAGTGTGAGACTAATTTACTTTCACAGGAAACTCTCTATCCATGAAAAAGAAAATTTGCTTAGATAGTTTTTAGAGCAACAAGGGGAAATTTCAACTCAAGAATTAAAAAAGAAAGTTAAATGTTACATTTCTTAACTTTTAAACACACACACACACACACACACACACACACACACACACACACACCAGTCTCCTGGAGCACAGGCTGGGTCTTAGCTCCCTAAGTAGCTTGAAGCAGCCCTTAAATTCCAGATGTTCCTGCCTCCACCTCCTGCAGTCTGAGATCACCTGCATGCATAGCCACTGCCTGTGAAAGTGACTTTTAAGCAGCAGCATTGTGAGAGGAGCAGTTGCTAAGAGCTTTGTAATCCAAACTCGAGAGGCACAGGCAGAATAGCAGAATTGAAAGGAACACTTTGTGATGGAGATGGAGAGGGCAGGGAGGAAGCATTCTCCTGCACAATGCCCGGCTGCTATGTTCTTATTGTTTTGATTTAGCATGCCTAATCTAATTAATCTTGCAAGTAGATACAGTTACCAGTTTTCAGAGTACAAAACAGAAGCCAGGAGAGATTATAGAATTTGATTATACAATTCCAAATTGTGGGGGTTTTTTCTTTGCTTTGATCTCTTTGATTGCTCTTTATCTTTTCCTTTAATGTCAGTCTGGGTGCTAACAGTTATTGATTTCCCCAAAAGAACTTTGCTTAATAGAAAGTAGTTTAGTGGAGGAGGAGTCAATGCATAATTTGGAGGACGCATTTCCATTCGATTCCCCCTGAGACAGCCTATTTGTGATTATAATTCGGTATGCTTTAATCCTGAAGCTCTACAAATGATTGTTTAAGAGTAGCACAGTCTGTTACTTCTCCAGACATAATTTCCACTAAAACTCTTTCTTGATTCTCATAAGTGTATCTATTCATGTCAATCCTAACTAAGTCTGGAGAGGACATAGCTTTAGCCACTGATTAGTGCACAGGATGAACTCTTGGGGACAATGACACTTAGAACTGCATAGAATATTTATTCCAAAGCAAGAGATCCTGGAGGAATTTCACGATTAAACAAAGGAACACAAAGCTCCAAACACTTCAACCTGGTCCCCTCACTTCCAGCTCTATAGCATCTTCCTTCCTTCTTGTCTAGTAAGAAGATGATGGCTAATCTCGGTTGTCAATTAAGCACACCTGGGAACAGGGAGCTTGGATTGGGGCGTGGCCTCCATTATATTATCCTGGGGACATTTTCTTCGTTGCTAATTGATGTGGGGAAGGGGACACAGCCCACTGTCACAGTCCAATGGTGCAGGAAGTGTAAGCTGAAATAAAATTCTTTCCTCCCCAAGTTGCTTTTGGTCAGACAGCAACAGAAAGTAGCGCAGGGGGAAGAGTAAAGAGTGCTGAGAATGTTATGAGCAGTTAATGACCGGAACCCTGTTCAGTTGGGTGTGAAATGGCTTTTGCCAAACATTTCATCTGGGGGCCTAGCTTTCAAGTTCATGATGTGAATGACATTCTACACTGATGAGTAAAAAAAATAATTTTAAATTACTCGGTAAAAGTAACTTTACCTTTCCAGCTCCTCTTCAAATAGAATATTTCATTATGTTTAATTATTGAAGGTCTCTGTGATATATATATGACTGATGATTAAGAAAGTTTTAATGAGAAAGGGATTCATCTACAAGTGCAGCCCAAGGGTGGCAACAGATTGGCTGGAAGGTCTGATGTTGACAGAACTGCAGTGGAAGAGATCTAAGGCACAGGGGTGATGCACCCAGAGTGGTGGGGCTATGGCAGCCAATGTGCCAAAGTTACTAGAGAACTTTCCCTCTGTGTAAGTTCTCTGCATCCTATGGTAATTATAGTTATCACATGTCTTGCCTTGTGCCAGAATCTGGAGGGCCGTGTGGGGCACATTGGAGACTCATGGACTCCTGCCCCTTGCCAATCTTGATAGGACACACTGGAATCTGAGTGTGGGGACTGCAGTTAGGAAAGGGACTTTAGGACTCTGTAGTCTGTTTTACTTAGAGACAATCTGGTGAAACAGCCCAGGCTGGCCTTGAACTCAAGATCCTCTGCCCCAGCTTCCAGAATGGTAAGATTGTAAGCATGTACATAGTGCCCAACTAAAAATCGTATAGTATAAATGAGCCCTTCGGATAGTTTTGCTAAGCTTCCTACAGCCTCTGGTACGCTGAGCTATGCAGGCTTAGATTTTTTTTAAAACTTACTTTTAATAAGGGTTCTCAAAAGCTTCAACTCCCCTTCTAGCCCACCATTCAAAGATAAGCGTTTCCCAGAGTTTATCACCCAGTGGTGAGAATAGACAGAACAGCAACATAAAGTCCCTGAAAGCCATGCCATGACAACTTTTACAAAGGATATAGCAGGAACAAATGGTGTAATCTGCTCTCAAAGTAGAAAGAGAAGGAGTTAGATGTGATTAAGAAAAGGGGTTGAGAGAAGGAGAGGAAGAGAGAGTGATGCTTGGATGCTCAGAATTCCAAAGACAACAGAGGTGTCAACCTGAGTAAGCAACGGGAAGATGGCAACCAGAAGAGGGCAACCGGAAGAGGGTAACCGGAAGAGGGCAACCGGAAGAGGGCAACCGGAAGATGTCTGATGCAGTGGTTTGAGTGAAAATGTCCTCCATAGGCTCACATATTTGGTCTCTGGTTCCTGGTGTTGTTTGGAGAGGTTTAAAGAGTATGGCCCTTATTGGATGAAATGTGTCACTAGATGCAGGCTTTGAGAGTTTAAAGACTGGTAACATTTCCAGTTTGCTCTCTCTGCTTCATGCTTGCAGTTGAGAATTTGATCTCCCAGCTTCCTGTTCTGGCCACCATCCCTGAAGCCTGTCGCTGTGCGGTGCCTGTCATTATAGATTCATCCAGCCCACTGTATCCATAAGTCAAAATGAACTCTTCTTTCTGTAAGCTGTTTTGGTCATAGGCTTTTGTTTTGTTATCTCAACAACAGAAAAGGAAGCAATACAACCATGAACTCAGAAAGCGATGTCTCATGGGAAAGCTTCACGCTGACTATCCCTTTGCCTTGGTCATTTGACCTGGTCCCTCAGGTGTTTGCTGTGGCCTTGAATAGGTAGAATGATAGGTCAGGAACATCTCAAAGGAAAGCAGGGCTTGCAGTAAAGTGGGGGACTATCCTCGACTCAGCTCTTAGTATTTAATTTTGTCAAGCTGGTGTTTGAATGCAATTCTCTTTTAGATGGACGATCGTTAACTCTGATTGCCAACTTGACAGGATCTAAACTGAGCAGGCAGATGAGCCTCTGGGTATGCCTATGAGCCATTATCTTGACTAGGTCAGTTCTAGGCATGCCTGTGAAAGATCTAACTGAGGCAAACTGAGCTGGAAGGAACCACTTTGGGTTTGTTAATAAATAACCAATCTGAATCTTTACCTCCTGACCGTTTTACTATTATTCTTTTGCT